GTTCTAATCAAAAGGGGTGGGGTCAAAAATGTTTTGATTTAATGTGGAACGACCCCATAGAAAAGGCTAGTAGAGTAGACATTAAAGAGGAACAGCCAGAGCGGGGTTTGAAACAGCCAACCAGTGGGTCCAGGGATTGCACTTCCACCTGTGCCATAAAGCTCCAGACCTCTTAACAGAATACTGATAGGTTCACATACACAGAGGCTACATTATTAAAGGGATAGTACACACTGAATATCAATGTGGCCAATATCTGTGGACTGATATAAATCGGTTGGGTTCTCATTACCTAGATTAAATCAGGATTACATTACATAGAACGTGTTTTAACCAGACCAGTACATAATATCCTTTAAAACACTTGAGGTACACTTGATTTAGCTTACCTGGTACAATGGTACCAATGGAATAGTGCCAAAAGTACACACTTGAACAACCCTTCACTTTGTACGATGTTCTCAAAATGTTCCACTGATGACACCTGTTAGTTCCGATGTATTGGTTCACCAGGACCAGTGTCTATATAAAGAAGGGGTCTGAGCCCAATAGACTACATTAGTTCTGAAGAGGCATTGTTTCAGATTGAGGGGTGTTGATCTCTGATGCAGGTGTCTTCACAGCACCAGTGAGATGAGTCTAATACTTCAGATTCACTGCCATGGACATCACAACGGGTGACAGTGGGTGGGTGTGTACGTAGGCTTGTTCAAGAATGACCAGGGTATAATGTGGCAAAGAATGTATCCGATGGAGTGACTCTAGAGTGTGCCTCCCCTTCAGCTACAGGCTCACTGTAGATGACAGAAATTACAACATATTCAGTGGTTTCCTGATCTCCCCTATGTAAGGGGAACACCAGTAAACACTGTCTTGAGCCAAAATAATATCTAGACTGAGATCCATTTGTTCCTGTATTAAATATACAGAATAAAAAGAAACGATTATCATGACTAGTATTTTGTATTATTTACTGTCAGTGTTGAATCTTATTGCTGAACATATCCTTGCTCTTAGTTGTATTTGATGGATGGTATTGAGTAAAGAGGAAAGGTGGGGTTGGAAGGGGTTTTGTGATTGTATTTTTATATTTCTCCAGAAAAATTACATATACTTTACTAGGTTCTTAGGTCCTGACAGAAAGGCTAGTGTAGGAACAACCAGAGTGGGGCTTGAAACAGCCAACTTGGTTCCAGGGGGAGTGAAATACCACCTGTGTTATAAAGCCTCTTAACATAAATCTTAGTACACTCACATATAGGGAAGCTACAGTCTTAAACAATGAAAAGGTACATGATTTTCTACTTATCTTGGCTTTTGTCGATTGACCCAGACAGAATAATGTCCAAACATTGATATCATGAAGATGGACTGTAACATGGGCCATTACAAATACATGCATTAAAGAGCAATGCATTACATCAATCTCCAACTACCCCTGAGAAATCAAATGTATTTGCCTGCATATATACTATTTACTGTACCATTAATGTTTGTATTGTGGGACTATTTTCTGCAATAAAAAAACAAGCCATATCATAATTGAAAACAACTGTCAATATCTTCAATGAACTGAATTTAAATGAATTTTCCTGGAACTATGTGGAAATGGAATTGCCCCAAACTCTCCACTCTGGATTGAATTGTGTGGAAGTGTTGCACCACCATCTGCTGGTGTACTATGGTATTACCATAAAGTCCCCCCATCAACGTGTTGACCTCCACCTTCGCATTTGAATCCCTGATCACAGTCAATTTCAAGGACTAGTAAATATTTTATGGACGTCAGAGATGCAAAGCTGACTGCATTATGAATAGCAGAATATGAAACGAAAGAACATCTTCCAAATAATTGATTCTCAGGAGAAAGGGCCTCGATCCTTCCCTTGCTGCTTTGTACCTTTTCAATAAAGGTGCATCTTTCTCCTGGATCAATGGTTCACTGCATTAACAAGATATACAGGCTCCAATAGATGTGGATACTGCATTAACAAGATATACAGGCTCAAACAGGTGTGGATACTGCATTAACAAGATATACAGGCTCCAATAGATGTGGATACTGCATTAACAAGATATACAGGCTCTAAAAGGTGTGGATACTGCATTAACAAGATATACAGGCTCTAAAAGGTGTGGATACTGCATTAACAAGATATACAGGCTCTAATAGGTGTGGATACAGCATTAACAAGATATACAGGCTCTAATAGATGTGGATACTGCATTAACAAGATATACAGGCTCAAACAGGTGTGGATACTGCATTAACAAGATATACAGGCTCCAATAGGTGTGGATACAGCATTAACAAGATATACAGGCTCCAATAGATGTGGATACTGTATATAACCCAACAGGCTCCAATAGATGTGGATACTGCATATAACCCAACAGGCTCCAATAGATGTGGATACTGCATATAACCCAACAGGCTCCAATAGATGTGGATACTGTATATAACCCAACAGGCTCCAATAGATGTGGATACTGTATATAACCCAACAGACTCCAATAGATGTGGATACTGTATATAACCCAACAGGCTCCAATAGATGTGGATACTGTATATAACCCCAACAGGCTCCAATAGATGTGGATACTGTATATAACCCAACAGGCTCCAATAGATGTGGATACTGTATATAACCCAACAGGCTCCAATAGATGTGGATACTGTATATAACCCAACAGGCTCCAATAGATGTGGATACTGCATATAACCCAACAGGCTCCAATAGATGTGGATACTGTATATAACCCAACAGGCTCCAATAGATGTGGATACTGTATATAACCCAACAGGCTCCAATAGATGTGGATACTGTATATAACCCAACAAGCTCCAATAGGTGTGGATACTGCATATAACCCAACAGCGTTGATGGAGTTAAGATACACTGAAGCCAACCTTGCAACACTCATATTAAGCCTACATGTCCTTGCAATTGCCTAGCAACAAAGATGTGTAACAACAAAGATAGTGCAAAAAGACACATTTGTAAGCGAGATGTTTGACTGACATATTTATATCAGGGAACTTCGATTAGACTGAAGTTACTTGATACAGTACCTTGTAAAAGTATTCATCCCCCTTGGCGTTTTTCCTATTTTGTTGCATCACAACCTGTAATTTAAATTGATTTTTATTTGGATTTCATGTAATGGACATACACAAAATAGTCCAAATTGGTGAAGTGAAATGAAAAAAATTACTTGGGGGGGGGGGGGTTGTAAGGCAACAAAATTGGAAAAATGCCAAGGGTGGTGAAAACTTTCGCAAGCCACTGTACGTCCCTTCAAGGTATTGTATGTTATTTCTTGATTCACTTCTACCTAGAATTGAATCATAGCCAAAACGTACGCCATAATCTCTTTGTATAACCCAATGGCTGGGTCATTTTAAGAATGTGGTAAATGGATAATGGATGACTATGAAGGCCATACTCAAAACGATAAGACAGCTGAGGGCCACATTTCATTGTCTCGCGGTCCGGATGTGGCCCATGGGCCGCCATTTGAGTATCACTGATCATTGATGTAGGCTGTATTAGTTGGCTTGCAGGAGAGCTCCTCGGTACCCTGGATTCTATATGCTTGAAAATACAATATCTATGATATTTTATCCACTGTCAAGTAGACTACATCCATTTTGTCACTTGTCCCTAGTACACAACACTTGTTAACTGGGTTCTTTTTCACTATTAGTAAGCATTTTGGATCTATAGGTTGAAGCCATGGTTCTATAGACTAGCAGAATACATGATTTAAGAAATCCTGTTTACCACCTGCAGTGTTTGCATACCTTCTCCTTTAAAGAAGGTATAGGGAACGCTTGAAACTTATTTTGGTTTTAGCGTTTGTCAACATAACATTAGCTCATTTGACATTTTAGTCATTTAGCAGACGCTCTTATCCAGAGCAACTTATAGTTAGTGAGTGCATACATTTTTCATACCTCGGTAGTTATAGCGCGATAGAAATGTAAGGTTTTTCCGATTGAGCCGACATATTCAGAGTTTACCGTAAATGCAGTCTCCGCTAACGCATGACCGTTGTAAGGCTTTCTGATTGAGCCGACATATACAGATTTTACAGTGAATGCAGTCTCTGCTAATGCGTGACCGTTGCCTTTAAATTTCAATCACTCTGTAATGCTGAACTTCTGCGATACGATTTTTTTTTTTTTTAATATATATAGTAGTGCAGACTTGGAATATGAACACACGGTAAATAATTTGAAGCTAAGAGGTGTGTGTGTGTGCATTAGTCCTGCACTATCTCTGTCTCTCTGGTCCTCTATCTAGGAACGTGGACAACTCCAAGGAAAACAAATGCAAAACGTGCCATTAAGATGAAATGCTACTCCCATACTTTAACTACATTTCTGATAAAAGACCAAAAGCTAGACATTTGAGTAATGTTGTCTTTATTTCGATATTCTACTTCATTCTAAGATTTATTTTCATATGAAGTTATGTTTCATAACAAAATATGTGTTTTAGAAGGAAAACGTGGCTCACAAAATAAAGCATTTTTTCTGATAATCTTACAACTAACAACACCACAATCATCTCCATGGTAACAATCAACAGATATTACATTAAAGAAAGGATCCTAAATGCTTGACTTTATCTAATGCTGAAAAAGCTATAATTCAATGTTTTGTTCATACATGTACTCCTGAGATTCAGAGAGAGGGCAAGAAAAGAGTCACTCAAGATGTTGAACCAGTGTGAGCTTTGAACTTTTCCCAGATTTAAAGAGGAAAGCAAAAAACAATAGGCTACTTAAATATGTGACTATCTTTATTCTATACCTCCTATATCTCTGTGTTATTCCTTTTTTAGTAATTGTCAATAAATGCCCCAGTGGGATAAATGAACCACATTTCTTGTCATTTAGCAGGCACTCTTATCCAGAGCGACTTACAATAATGAGTGCATACATTTTCATACTTTTCTGTACTGGTCCCCCGTGGGAATCAAACCCACAACCCTGGTGTTGCAAACACCATGCTCTATCAACTGAGCCACATGGAAATACAATTGCATAGTTGCATTTGATTAGATTTTACTGTAACTAATAATACAGTATTTTATTCCTGATGGAAAACCAGTGCAAACCTCACAGCGATGTTAGCTCTAAAGTAAACTGGCCCAGAATTGTACAACTGGTAACGTGAGGTTTAACAATGACTGTGGGAGAAAACTGCAAATGTCTGAAAGTCTGTAGAACTTTGTTGTTTTGCATTTGAATCTTTCCACCATCTTACTCTCTGCCATTTGTATTGTGTAACTCTGGGTGTGGATGGATGGCTGATCATGAAGATAGATGAGATACGCATCATAGAACAAAACAAGTGTTTCTGTATATTTATTCTGTGTAACAACAGCAGTCAGTTACAGGCAGTGACACACTCATTTAGCGTTTGAAAACTTTGGTGATGCATAACAGCTTGTGAATACCTCAACACTTAGTATTTGTATATTGCTCTGAAATGAGTCATAATTCTTTATTTTACAATATCGACCGATGGAACGACCGTTTTGACAGAAGCGTACATACGCACACTCAAAAAGGAACCTGACGAATAACTTGTGCGAGCAAGAAAAGTAGGAGAGCTATACAAACAGGATTGCGGAGGTGACTTCGCTATCATGTCACCTCCAAAATGTATTTCCAGACATGAGATGCTCTAGAGCTGGTACTGTTTATGACACTGTCAACACCGACCCATAACCCTCTTTTCTGTAGAGATGGTACTGTTTATTACACTGTCAACACCGACCCATAACCCTCTTTGCTCTTAGCTTTATATACACAATGGTAAACTAGGAAATATGCAGAGAGTACTTCGTCCATCACTCACCCAAGTGGGTATAAAGGACCATTCCAAATCTCATACACCCCCCCATGGTCCCCTTAAAAACAAAAAGAAGCTTGGTCTGAAGTCGGTCCTCAGTTGTCTCAGGGATTGAGATTTTGGATGAAGTGAAACAAGTGTCCATCTGTCGGGTGGATTGTCTGTTTGTCCAAATGTTGAAGATGGATCCTCCAAGTCCCAAAGCAGATGAGTCTGTCTGTCTTCTGCCCACCATTACCAAAGCAAACCGTTCCCCATTTGTCCTCTTTCTGTGTGTGACATGACTGGTGACATCAATGACCTAATTTCCTCCTCCGTTCACTCATTTCCTGTCCATGACATGACGTCACTTCCTTGGCTAAATTAAGGTCGGTGTCAAGTCTTCAAAACAGCTTCCTTCCCTCCTCTCCTCTCCCTCGCAACCGCTAACCTAAAGATACCTTTAGAACCTAAATAGCCAACCGCTAACCTAAAGATACCTTTAGAACCTAAATAGCCAACCGCTAACCTAAAGATACCCGACGGGTGACAGCCAAACGATGGAACAATGGAAACCAGCACCTTTCACCGGTCAGCAGTTCGAGAGGAACAGGAAACAAAGAAAGGAAGCCATTTTGGGGCATACGGTCCTGGTGTCCATTATGAACAGTCAGGAACAACAGAATGGAAGGAAAATGGGAATGGAGGCCATCTTGAGTGAGAGCCAGTATCACTAGTCCTAGTCCTAGTTCCTACTGCCCATTGGTCTCTAGCACTGTGGGAGTGGACGGAGTGGAGGAACGAGAGGGGACCGACCCCTTCTCCCCCCCGGGGCTGGCAGCGGTTGGTACGCCCTCGGGGGCCTTGGCTCCTGCGGTAACAGCGGCGGCGGCTGCAGCGGCCCTGGCTGCGGTGATGGCGGACACGGGCTTGGGCTGGGTCTGCAGGCCGGGGCTGCAGATGAGGTGGTGGCGCTCCCAGTCCTTGTGCTGGCAGAAGGAGCCGCAGTAACGCGCCGCATTGCAGCCGCTGCACGTCTCGCTGGCCTTGCGTCCACAGTTCCAGCAACACTGAGGAGGAGAGAGAGAGGGAGATGGAGAGTTTAGTGGAGATCAATAATATACTACAGCTATGCACGGCTGTGTATGTGTAGTGTAAACATGAGCAGGGGGAGAGAGTTAAGTTCACTAATAGGAGGAGAAGAGTGTGTGTGTGTGTGTCCCCATCACTATGACTCTCACTTCACAGTATGTGTGTATACAGTCATGTACTAATATATCCTCCATACCTCGCTGGAGTCTTCCTGCTCGTTGATGACCTGGATGGCGTCCTCGGTGGCCTTCCTCTTGGCCTCGGACAGTGTCTTCTCCATCTTGGCCCGCTCGGACGCGATCATCTCAAAGGCCTTGTGCTCCGCCTCGGCCACTGCTTTCTGGACCTCGTCCATGGCCTGACGCTTCACCTCGTTCACCGCCTCCTCTGTCAGGGTTATATTGTTGTGGTATGTTCAGGTTATAGTACACACTTTGTAAGAGATCTTTACATAAAATTTTTTAAATAATGTTTTTTTAATGAGAGATAGAGAGAGAGGGGGAGGAGGAGGGCAGACACACAAACACAGACACACACAGACACACACAGGCACAGACACCACTGTTGTACAAGGCCTTACCAGCTTTTCTCCAGATCTCATCAGGCACGTAGCCCGAGCCTGGTCGCGGCGCAAAGTCTCTCTGCGATTCTGTGACATGGAAAGAAGAGAGTGAGAGGGAGAGAAGAGAAAGAGAAGAGAGAGATAAGAGAGAGATAAGAGAGAGAGAAGAGAGAGAGAGAAGAGAGAGAGAAGAGAGTGAATGAGATTAGCATCATGTGCAGCAGCATCATCCTCTATTTACGTAAGATACACAATCTCCCTCAATAGCTAGCCACACCAAATTAAACCTTTCCCAGTTGTCCAGCTGAACTGAATAGCCGGGCAGCTTGAATAGTGAGTACAATGGCTAGCACAGAGGGGCCGACAACCAAGCTGTAGCTACATTCTGTCTGTTCTCTCTCTGTACTGCTCCTATGCCCATGCCCAATTTCTGTGGTGCCCAGGCTGCGTTTGGGCTGTGTACACTGTGTCCAGGCACACAGATGGCGCTCTGGCCAGGCGGTGGGGCAGCCAGATCTGGGTCTTACAGGATGGCAGACTGGCACTGCCAGGACCTTCTGTGGCCAATCTGGACGGGGCAGCGCTGGCACCATGTCTGGGGGCCACGGGGCAGCATTGGCCCCGGAGAGACGAGCAGACAAGCGCTGAGAGATAAACACTGCCAGCAAGACTGTGTCTGCGTCCCAAATGGCACCCTATTCCCAACATAGTTGCACTACTTTTGACCAGAGCCCTATGGAACCCTGTCAAACGTATTGCACTTCATAGGGAATAGGGCACCATTTGGGAAGCGACCTGTATGTATAGGATCTAAACGTCTCAGTAGTAGTGTTGATGGGTGTAGTTCTGCAGATGAACACAAGAGGGCAGCCTATATGGTGACTGTGGGCGCTCAGTAGCTGGTGGCAGTTGCTTCAGTTCAGCAGCTCACCATCAAGGGGACTACTAACTGTTATCACTTATCCCTTGATTGATTCGACAGGACTCACATATGACAAGATACACACCTGATCAACAAATCTATATAATGTATTCAATCATTAAAGGACAAATACTAAGGTGAGAAATGAACTTAACTTCTCATCCATAGTTTGATATCATAAGAGTTAGCTAGTTATAATGTAAAGATAAAAGACTACCCACCACTGCTGAGTCCCTCGGTTGTGTGGGGGCTGCGGGTCTTGGAGAAGGGGGCGGGCACCGTTGCTGTGTGGGGGCTGCGGGTCTTGGAGAAGGGGGCGGGCACGGCGGCGGCGGCCCCTCCTTTGCGGGGGTCTTCCTGCTCGCTGGAGCGCTGCCGCCAGTAGTTGAGCTCCTCGCGGTCCGACTCCTGACAGCGCCGCAGCACAGCCACCGAACGCCGCGTCTTCTCCACCATCTCAACAATGCAGTTCAACACCTAGGAGACGGGAGGGAGAGAGAGAAGAGGATACATTTATAGGAAGTTCAATTATAATTCTTAATTGTTTTTCCTTTTAAAACTGCTCAGTTACCGTGCAACTAAATATGAATATTTATAGCCTATTTCTGCAGATACATGCATGGCCAGAAATAGGACCACTTTAAGCCATACACTCCATAGAGATGGGCTTTATGGAAGAGTGGCCAGAAAAAAAGGTACTCTGGTCAGATGAGACTAAAATTGAGCTTTTTGGCCATCAAGGAAAACGCTCTGTCTGGCGCAAACCCAACACCGCTCCTCATCCCGTGTAGCTCAGTTGGTAGAGCATGGCGCTTGCAACGCCAGGGTTGTGGGTTCGTTTCCCACGGGGGGCCAGTATGAAAATGTATGCACTCACTAACTGTAAGTCGCTCTGGATAAGAGCGTCTGATAAATGACTAAAATTTAAATGTAAACACCATCCCCACAGTGAAGCATGGTGGTGGCAGCATCATGCTGTGGGGATGTTTTTCATTGGCAGGGACTGGGAAACTGGTCAGAATTGAAGGAATGATGGATGGCGCTAAATACAGTTTCAGTTTTCTAGAGATTTGAGACTGGGACGGAGGTTCACCTTCCAGCAGGACAATGACCCTAAGCATACTGGTAAAGCAACACTCGAGTGGTTTAAGGGGAAACATTTACATGTCTTGGAATGGCCTAGTCAAAGCCCAGACCTCAATCCAATTGAGAATCTGTGGTATGACTTAAAGATTGCTGTACATCAGCGGAACCCATCCAACTTGAAGGAGCTGGAGCAGTTTTTCCTTGAAGAATGGGCAAAAATCCCAGTGGCTAAATGTGCCAAGCTTATAGAGACATACCCCAAGAGACTTGCAGCTGTAATTGCTGCAAAAGGTGGCTCTACAAAGTATTGACTTTGGGGGGGGGGGGGGGGGGGGTGAATAGTTATGCACGCTCAAGTTTTCTGTTTTCTTGTTTGTTTCACAATAAAAAATATTTTGCATCTTCACGTTGTGTAAATCTAATGATACAAAACAATCCATTTTAATTCCAGGTTGTAAGGCAACAAAATAGGAAAAATGCCAAGGTGGGTGAATACTTTCGCAAGCCACTGTAAAGCAAATGTTTATATACAGTGGGGAAAAAAAGTATTTAGTCAGCCACCAATTGTGCAAGTTCTCCCACTTAAAAAGATGAGAGAGGCCTGTAATTTTCATCATAGGTACACGTCAACTATGACAGACAAAATGAGAAAATAAAATCCAGAAAATCACATTGTAGGATTTTTTATGAATTTATTTGCAAATTATGGTGGAAAATAAGTATTTGGTCAATAACAAAAGTTTCTCAATACTTTGTTATATACCCTTTGTTGGCAATGACACAGGTCAAACGTTTTCTGTAAGTCTTCACAAGGTTTTCACACACTGTTGCTGGTATTTTGGCCCATTCCTCCATGCAGATCTCCTCTAGAGCAGTGATGTTTTGGGGCTGTCGCTGGGCAACACGGACTTTCAACTCCCTCCAAAGATTTTCTATGGGGTTGAGATCTGGAGACTGGCTAGGCCACTCCAGGACCTTGAAATGCTTCTTACGAAGCCACTCCTTCGTTGCCCGGGCGGTGTGTTTGGGATCATTGTCATGCTGAAAGACCCAGCCACATTTCAACTTCAATGCCCTTGCTGATGGAAGGAGGTTTTCACTCAAAATCTCACGATACATGGGCCCATTCATTCTTTCCTTTACACGGATCAGTCGTCCTGGTCCCTTTGCAGAAAAACAGCCCCAAAGCATGATGTTTCCACCCCCATGCTTCACAGTAGGTATGGTGTTCTTTGGATGCAACTCAGCATTCTTTGTCCTCCAAACACGACGAGTTGAGTTTTTACCAAAAAGTTCTATTTTGGTTTCATCTGACCATATGACATTCTCCCAATCCTCTTCTGGATCATCCAAATGCACTCTAGCAAACTTCAGATGGGCCTGGACATGTACTGGCTTAAGCAGGGGGACACGTCTGGCACTGCAGGATTTGAGTCCCTGGCGGCGTAGTGTGTTACTGATGGTAGGCTTTGTTACTTTGGTACCAGCTCTCTGCAGGTCATTCACTAGGTCCCCCCGTGTGGTTCTGGGATTTTTGCTCACCGTTCTTGTGATCATTTTGACCCCACGGGGTGAGATCTTGCGTGGAGCCCCAGATCGAGGGAGATTATCAGTGGTCTTGTATGTCTTCCATTTCCTAATAATTGCTCCCACAGTTGATTTCTTCAAACCAAGCTGCTTACCTATTGCAGATTCAGTCTTCCCAGCCTGGTGCAGGTCTACAATTTTGTTTCTGGTGTCCTTTGACAGCTCTTTGGTCTTGGCCACAGTAGAGTTTGGAGTGTGACTGTTTGAGGTTGTGGACAGGTGTCTTTTATACTGATAACAAGTTCAAACAGGTGCCATTGACACAGGTAACGAGTGGAGGACAGAGGAGCCTCTTAAAGAAGAAGTTACAGGTCTGTGAGAGCCAGAAATCTTGCTTGTTTGTAGGTGACCAAATACTTATTTTCCACCATAATTTGCAAATAAATTCATTAAAAATCCTACAATGTGATTTTCTGGATTTTTTTTCTCTCAATTTGCTGTCATAATTGACGTGTACCTATGATGAAAATTACAGGCCTCTCTCATCTTTTTAAGTGGGAGAACTTGCACAATTGGTGGCTGACTAAATACTTTTTACCCCCACTGTATGTATATATATATATATATATATATATATATATATATATATATATATAGTATGTGTATACACTGAGTGTACAAAACACTAAGAACACTTTCCTAATATTGATTTGCATCCCCCTTTAGCCCTCAGAACAGCCTCAATTCATCATGGACTCTACAAGGTGTCAAAAGTGTTCCACAGGGATGCAGGCCCATGTTCACAGTTGTGTCAAGTTGGCTGGATGTCGTTTGGGTGGTGGACCATTCTTGATACACATGGGAAACTGTTGAGCGTGAAAAACCCACAGCGTTGCAGTTCTTGACACAAACCGGTGTGCCTGGCACCTACTACCATACCCTGTTCAGAGGCACTTAAATCCTTTGTCTTGCCCATTCACCCTTTGAATGGCACACATACACAATCCATTTCTCAATTATCTCAAGGCTTAAAAATCCTCCTTTAACCTGTCTCCTCCCCTTCATCTACACTGATTGAAGTGGATTTAACAAGTGACATCAACATCGGATCATAGCTTTCACCTGGATTCACCTGGTCAGTCTATCATGGAAAGAGCAGGTGTTCATAATGTTTTGTACACTCAGTGTATATCATGGCTTCATTTCATTGGGTAGGACTCCTGCTTTGGGCAGTCAATCGCCACACAGTGCAATGCATGGCTCTCTGATGTTGACAGCAAATGGCTTTAAACAAAAGTCTGCCACTGTGAACGGGACACCAAGTCTGACAAAGCCTCGATGGCTCCGCCAGGCATTAAGAGCTGCTATAGCACTAGTAGTGCCAGTGGTCGGCAGCGACGGCTGCTGTTAGCAGCAATACTTACATGATCCAGATGTCTCCACTCATCAGCCCACTCTCTGTCTGTCAGCCTGTGGTCTATGGGCTCCTCGCGGTAACCCCCGTTAGTGCCTGATTAGAAAGACGAGACAAATTAAAGAGGAACGGAATGTTACAGAATCCATCATAACAAATTACTATGACAAGAAGTGAGGCAGAGAGAAGACTCCAGACTCTGACATTGCTCGTCCTAATATTTATATATTTCTTAATTCCATCCTTTTACTTTTAGATTTGTGTATTGTTAGATACTACTGCACGGTTGGAGCTTGCAACACAAGCATTTCGCTACACCCGCAATAACGTCTGCTAAATATGTGTATGCGACCAATACAATTTGTTATGAAAGTGTGTCTATTAACTTGAATCACAATCATACCACAATGAAGCAGTGGACACATTTAGATGGTCTTATTTCACAACAGTATTCCATGTCATGATCATAGCTTAGTGACAAGCTGCGCTTTACCGTCTCGCTACCACAAGAAAGAAAAAGAGTAGCCAACTCAAAAGGAGAGTTAAGGAGAAAATGAAGACAGAGTTAGAAAGACAAAGAGAGAGAGAAAATGAGAGATATATCCTACTGAAGACAAGTTTGAACAAGGAAAGAGTAAAAGGAGGGAAAAAAACACAGAGAGAGAAAAAGAGAGAGATTAAAACACAGAGAGAGAGAGATTAAAACAGAGAGAGAGAGATATTAAAACAGAGAGAGAGAGAGATTAAAACAGAGAGAGAGATATAAAACACAGAGAGAGAGAGATTAAAACAGAGAGAGAGAGAGATTAAAACAGAGAGAGAGAGATTAAAACAGAGAGAGAGAGAGATTAAAACAGAGAGAAGATATTAAAACACAGAGAGAGAGAGATTAAAACAGAGAGAGAGAGAGATTAAAACAGAAGAGAGAGAGATTAAAACAAGAGAGAGAGAGATTAAAACAGAGAGAGAGAGATTAAAACAGAGAGAGAGAGATTTAAAACAAGAAGAGAGAGAGATTAAAACAGAGATAGAGAGAGATTAAAACAGAGAGAGAGAATTAAAACATAGAGAGTTAGGAGAGATTAAAACAGAGAGAGTAGAGAGATATAAAACACCAGAGTAGAAGATTAAACAGAGAGAAGATTAAACAGAGAGAGAAGAGATTAAAACAGAGAGAGATAGATTATAAAAGAAGAGAGAATTAAACAAAGAGAGATAGATATTAAAACACAAGAGAGAGATTAAAAGAAAGATAGAATTAAACAAAGAGAGAGATTAAAACAGAGAGAGAGAGATTAAAACAGAGAAGAAGAGAATTAAAACACAGAGAGAGAGAGATTAAAACAAGAGAGAGAGAGATTAAAACTAAGAGAAGAATGATTAAACGAGATAGGAGTAGATTAAAACAAGAGAGATGAGAGAATATATTAAAACCAGAGAGAGAGAGAGATATTAAAACAGAGAGAGAGAGAGATTAAAAGAGAAGAGAGAGATTAAAACATAGAGAGAGAGATAAAAAGATAGATAGAAACAGAGAGATATAGAGATGAAAACAAGAGAGAGAAGAGATGATTAAAACAGATATAGAGAGATTAAGAGAAGAGTAGAGATATAAAAACGAGAGATAGAGAGAGATTAAAACAGAGAGAGATATTAAACACAAGAAGATTAACAGAGATAGATAGAGATATTAAAACAGAGAAGAGAGAATAGTAAAAGAATGAGAGAGAGAAGAGATATTAAACAAAAGATATAGAAAGATGAGAGTAAAACAAGAGAGAGAGAGATTAAAACAGAAGAGAGAGATATTAAAACCACAGATAGAAGATAGATAGATTAAAAACACAAGATAGAATAATAGATTAAAACACATAGAGAAAGAGATAGAAAGAGAGAAATATAGATAGAAAATAATTAAAACAGATAGAGAGAGATTAAAACATAAGAGAAGAGAGATAAAGAGAGAAATTAAAACAACAGAGAGAGAGAAAGATTAAAAACACAAAGAGATATATAAAACAGAGAAGAAGAGATTAAACTAAGAGAGGAGAGAGATTAAAACCAGAGATAGAAGAGAGGAGAGCTTACAACACAATTAAAACAACAGATAGAATTAACACGAGATATTAAACAAACAAGAGAGAGATATTAAACACATCGAGAGAGAGAGATTAAACACACAGAGAGAGATTACAAAGACAACAGAAATAAAGCAGAGAGATAGAGAAGAGAAGATGCGAAGCGAGCGAGAGCTCTACGCCATTAAAAAACTAATTCAAATTGAAATACCTATTAAAATTTGGCAAAAACTAATTGAATGTGTCATTGAACCAATTGCACTTTATGGCAGCGAGGTGTGGGCTCCACTTGCAAAACAAGATTTCACCAAATGGGACAAACCCCCATTGAAACCCTGCATGCAGAGTTCTGTATGATTCTCCAGAGGAAAACTACAAACAATGCATGCAGGGCAGAATTAGGCCAATATCCACTAATAAAAAAAATTGCAATTAAGTTTAGGAAACATCTAAAATACAGTGACCCCCTCTTATATCATTACCAAGCCCTGCAATGCCAAGAGCTGAGCAAAGAAAAGAGTCCCCTCATCCAGCTGGTCCAACATCCAATCAATCAGAATAAACCAAATTACAACACAGTCAAAACAAAACTACATTGCTTATTGGGAAACACAAGCACAAGCACAAAGTAAAATGCAGTGCTATCTGGCCCTAAATCGACAGTACACCGTGGCTAACTATTTGACCATGGTTACTGATCAAAACCTTAGAAAAACCTTGACAAAGTACAGGCTCAGTGAGTACAGCCTTGCCATTGAGAAGGGTAGACACAGGAAAACCTGGCTCCCTGTAGAGGAAAGGCTGTGCAACCGCTGTGCAACCACTGCACCATAGCAGAACCTGAGACAGAGCTCCATTTCCTGACAAAATGTCGAAAATATAAAACAATTAGAGTGTCATTTCCCCAAATTTGAAACAGTTTTTCAAGGTTTCAAAGACCTCTCTGATGAGAATAGGCTACCCGTCCTGTTGGGTGAGGACTCAGAGAGCTGTGGGTTGGCAGCGCACTACATTGCTGCCTGCCATAAGATGAGGGACAGTGTCTGACAGACCAATCAACCTGCACATGTCCTCTATATTGTTTTTGTTCAATGGTTATTTTGACCCTTGGTTATTGTTGTTACTGTTGTCCTGTTGACAATATTGATGATGATTATTTTAATTATGTTAATATTGTAAATATCCAAAGTAAGCTTTGGCAATATGTACATTGTTACATCATGCCAATAAAGCAAATGGAATTGAATTGAAAATTGAGAGAGAGAGAGAATAGAGAAGAGAGAGAGAGAGGAGAGAGATAGGAAGAGAGAGAGAGAGAGAAGAGCGAGAGAGAGACGAGATAGATCAGAGAGAGAGAGAGAGAGAGAGGAGCGATATAGATAGAGAGGAGATAGAGGAGGAGCTAGAGAGAGAGAGAGAGAGAGAGAGAGAGAGAGAGAGAGAGAGAGAGAGAGAGAAGGGCCTTTTGATGAGAACCAGACTCCGGCCCAGCCACAGCATGCAGCAGCGCTGAGACGCCCCCACATCTGGAGGTCAGCTGTCAGTGTAAAACCACCACCACCACCCCCCTCTCCTCCTTATCCCTCATCTCTGCCCCCCATTGGGATCCCCTGGCTGGGTAACTGTCGGGGAGGAGTTGGCCCTGCTCCCCTCCCCCTGGTCTGGAGCAAGCAGCATTCCAGCGGGGAGCCGCTCAGGCTGAGTGGAGCAGGGCCACTTCTAAACACAGCCGCCCCCTGGCTAAGTAGAGCTGACACCCGCTCTGGTTTGGAGAAGCTGGGTGTGGGGGGGCACACACGCAAACACGCACACGCAGAGACAAATACACACATACACAACCTAAAAAGACAGATACACACACACACACACACACACTCAAGCCTTCCACATGCTTCGGTACGGCTAGCCGAACGAGTGTGCTCGCATACTCCCTTAAAAGACCGTTGCTTGAAAAACAAGAAAAGAGCGGCAATAGTACTGTTTGTCCATCTTGAGACACTGTAGCCAGTATACAGTTCCTCAAAATAGTCAGAATGAATCTAAGGTAACTGAAGAAATATGTCATTAATTTTGAAGTGCCAATAACCTGGCGGTTATGTCCGCGGGGCATATGACCACTCTATGGAAAGGAGAGACTCTCATGAACATGATGGTGTTCTCTGTTTATTTCATCTGAAGGTAACCCATACAAAATAATGGAAGTATGGAGGTAGTTATGTGCCAACAAAAATAAGGGTTTAAATATGTTTCCAAAAAAATATTTCCTGATCTTTCTTATATCTCCTAGATAAAGGACAGACACATCAAAACCTTATTCCTTATGATTGATTTTTTGACTCTCTTCCTTGCTTCGGCTTCAACACTACTGTCGTTTCCTTAGGGCACTGTGGTGGGGGGATGGATAGTGTTTGTGTGTGTGTGCATGCATGCATGCGTGTTTGCCTCTGTGTTTATGTGTGTGTGCGTGCGTGTATGTGTGTGCAGCTACCTTGTGTGTAGATGTGCGTGCCATCTGGCCATTGACAAGGACCAGATGGCACGCAGATCTACAATGAACTAGATACAATCCTCTCTCTCCACAGAGACTCAAAGGTACTCTACATCCTGGGTAGTTGGGCACACTGTCTAAGCACATGTGGTCCCATGGATTTATGGTCTTCTGAGAGCTTCTACACACTTAGCTGTGCATGTCCACACACACGCACAGAGACCACCCATTAGCAGCATTCATATCCACCGTACTATAGGCTGTTTGTATGGGAGTGAGAGAGAGAGTTCTGTTTTATGAGGGAACCTCACTGTTGGTTGGTGAGAGAGTTCTGTTTTATGAGGGACCCTCAGTGTTGGTTGGTGAAAGAGTTCTGTTTTATGAGGGAACCTCAGTGTTGGTTGGTGAGAGAGTTCTGTTTTATGAGGGAACTTCAGTGTTGGTTGGTGAGAGAGTTCTGTTTTATAAGGGAACCTCAGTGTTGGTTGGTGAGAGAGTTCTGTTTTATGAGGGAACCTCAGTGTTGGTTGGTTATCTGTTATGGAAAACAGCAGAGGGTTGAATGTGAGAGAATGAAGGAGCCCAGCTATATCTGTTCATGTAGGGCTAAACCCTTGTGAGTTTGAATATGCATCTGGGTTGTATTTATTTTGTATGTGTGTATGTGTGTATGTGTATGTGTGTATGTGTGTGTGTGTGTGTGTGTGTGTGTGTGTGTGTGTGTGTGTGTGTGTGTGTGTGTGAATGTGTATATATGTGTGTGTGTGTGTGTGTATGTGTGTGTGTGTGTGTGTGTGTGGTGTGTGTGTGAATGTGTATATGTGTGTGTGTGTGTGTGTGTGTGTGTGTGTGTGTGTGTGTGTGTGAATGTGTGTGTGTGTGTGTGTGTGTGTATGTGTGTGGTGTGTGTGTGTGTGTGTGAATGTGTATGTGTATGTGTGTGTGTGTGTTGGTGTGTGTGGTGTGTGTGTGTGTGTGTGTGTGTGAATGTGTATATGTGTGTGTGTGTGTGTGTGTGTGTGTGTGTGTGTGGTGTGTGTTCCTGTATACCACTAGGTAGCTAGCCCCCGTAGCTCCAGTATATTGTAACTTTAACTGTGCAGTAGGTCTCGCTCTCTTTCTCTTTCTTAAACTGCTTGTAAATATTGTTTTTATTGCATTGGAATTGTAAATATTGTGAATTTGTATGATTGTGTGCAGGGCTCACTTGGTCTCAATAGGATTTCCCTGTTAAAATAAAATGTAAATAACAAAATGTAATAAAAAAACGATGTACCGTATGTATCTGTGTCTGTATGAAGTATTTACCAGGTAGTCTAGGCCTGTCCTTGAGCTCGCGGAGCTCCAGTATCCGGTGGCTGCTCTCCCTGTTCAGGAGATGGGGGGCGCTGATGTCCTCGAGGGCGTAGTGCTGCAGAGGGGGCGGCGTGGGGTGCAGCTGAGCGCTGAGGGGCAGGGGGTTGGCCGGGCTGTGGCGGGGCGCCGGGCTGATGGTGCAGATGCGCTTAGCCGGGGGCTCCAGGGGGGCAGGGGGCGCTCGTGGAAGCCGTTCTCTTTGCCCCTGCAGGAGAGAGAGATGAGAGAGGAGAGGAGAGGACAGGGTGAGAGATGAGAGAGGAGAGGACAGGGTGAGAGATGAGAGAGGAGAGGACAGGGTGAGAGATGAGAGAGGAGAAGAGAGGACAGGGTGAGAGATGAGAGAGGAGAGACAGGGTGAGAGATGAGAGAGGAGAGGACAGGGTGAGAGATGAGAGAGGAGAGGACAGGGTGAGAGATGAGAGAGGAGAGGACAGGGTGAGAGATGAGAGAGGAGAGGACAGGGTGAGAGATGAGAGAGGAGAAGAGAGGACAGGGTGAGAGATGAGAGAGGAGAGGACAGGGTGAGAGATGAGAGAGGAGAGGACAGGGTGAGAGATGAGAGAGGAGAGGACAGGGTGAGAGATGAGAGAGGAGAGGACAGGGTGAGAGATGAGAGAAGAGAGGACAGGGTGAGAGATGAGAGAGAAGAGGACAGGGTGAGGGATGGTGTGAGAGTGGGAGTGAGTAGATGAGTGCATTGGCGTATTTTGGCAGTTGTGTATGTGTACGTCTCTGTCAGTTGTGAATTGTCTGGGGGTCCCCGAGGAGAGGACTGTCTCTTAACTGTCTGAACATAGCTACCTGTTAGGACTGTCTCTTAACTGTCTGAACGTAGCTACCTGTTAGGACTGTCTCTTAACTGTCTGAACGTAGCTACCTGTTAGGACTGTCTCTTACCTGTTAGGACTGTCTCTTACCTGTTAGGACTGTCTCTTAACTGTCTGAACATAGCTACCTGTTAGGACTGTCTCTTACCTGTTAGGACTGTCTCTTAACTGTATAAACATAGCTACCTGTTAGGACTGTCTCTTAACTGTCTGAACATAGCTACCTGTTAGGACTGTCTCTTAACTGTCTGAACGTATCTACCTGTTAGTACTGTCTCAACGTAGCTACCTGTTAGGAATGTCTCTTAACTGTCTGAACGTATCTGCCTGTTAGGACTGTCTCTTAACTGTCTGAACGTAGCTACCTGTTAAGACTGTCTCTTAACTGTCTGAACGTATCTACCTGTTAGTACTGTCTCAACGTAGCTACCTGTTAGGACTGTCTCTTAACTGTCTGAACATATCTACCTGTTAGGACTGTCTCTTAACTGTCTGAACGTAGCTACCTGTTAGGACTGTCTCTTAACTGTCTGAACGTAGCTACCTGTTAGGACTGTCTCTTAACTGTCTGAACATAGCTACCTGTTAGGACTGTCTCTTACCTGTTAGGACTGTCTCTTAACTGTCTGAACGTAGCTACCTGTTAGGACTGTCTCTTAACTGTCTGAACATAGCTACCTGTTAGGACTGTCTCTTAACTGTCTGAACGTAGCTACCTGTTAGGACTGTCTCTTAACTGTCTGAACATAGCTACCTGTTAGGACTGTCTCTTACCTATTAGGACTGTCTCTTAACTGTCTGAACGTAGCTACCTGTTAGGACTGTCTCTTAACTGTCTGAACATAGCTACCTGTTAGGACTGTCTCTTAACTGTCTGAACATAGCTACCTGTTAGGACTGTCTCTTAACTGTCTGAACGTAGCTACCTGTTAGGACTGTCTCTTACCTGTTAGGACTGTCTCTTACCTGTTAGGACTGTCTCTTAACTGTCTGAACATAGCTACCTGTTAGGACTGTCTCTTACCTGTTAGGACTGTCTCTTAACTGTCTGAACATAGCTACCTGTTAGGACTGTCTCTTAACTGTCTGAACGTATCTACCTGTTAGTACTGTCTCAACGTAGCTACCTGTTAGGAATGTCTCTTAACTGTCTGAACGTATCTGCCTGTTAGGACTGTCTCTTAACTGTCTGAACGTAGCTACCTGTTAAGACTGTCTCTTAACTGTCTGAACGTATCTACCTGTTAGTACTGTCTCAACGTAGCTACCTGTTAGGACTGTCTCTTAACTGTCTGAACATATCTACCTGTTAGGACTGTCTCTTAACTGTCTGAACGTAGCTACCTGTTAGGACTGTCTCTTAACTGTCTGAACGTAGCTACCTGTTAGGACTGTCTCTTAACTGTCTGAACATAGCTACCTGTTAGGACTGTCTCTTACCTGTTAGGACTGTCTCTTAACTGTCTGAACGTAGCTACCTGTTAGGACTGTCTCTTAACTGTCTGAACATAGCTACCTGTTAGGACTGTCTCTTAACTGTCTGAATGTAGCTACCTGTTAGGACTGTCTCTTAACTGTCTGAACATAGCTACCTGTTAGGACTGTCTCTTACCTATTAGGACTGTCTCTTAACTGTCTGAACGTAGCTACCTGTTAGGACTGTCTCTTAACTGTCTGAACATAGCTACCTGTTAGGACTGTCTCTTAACTGTCTGAACATAGCTACCTGTTAGGACTGTCTCTTAACTGTCTGAACGTAGCTACCTGTTAGGACTGTCTCTTAACTGTCTGTTTGTATCTCTACTGAACGTATCTACCTGTTAGGACTGTCTCTTAACTGTCTGTTTGTATCTCTACTGAACGTATCTACCTGTTAGGACTGTCTCTTAACTGTCTGTTTGTATCTCTACTGAACGTATCTACCTGTTAGGACTGTCTCTTAACTGTCTGTTTGTATCTCTACTGAACGTATCTACCTGTTAGGACTGTCTCTTAACTGTCTGTTTGTATCTCTACTGAACGTATCTACCTGTTAGGACTGTCTCTTAACTGTCTGAACATAGCTACCTGTTAGGACTGTCTCTTAACTGTCTGAACATAGCTACCTGATAGGACTGTCTCTTACCTGTTAGGACTGTCTCTTAACTGTCTGAACATAGCTACCTGTTAGGACTGTCTCTTAACTGTCTGAACGTAGCTACCTGTTAGGACTGTCTCTTAACTGTCTGAACATAGCTACCTGTTAGGACTGTCTCTTACCTGTTAGGACTGTCTCTTAACTGTCTGAATGTAGCTACCTGTTAGGACTGTCCCTTAACTGTCTGAACATAGCTACCTGTTAGGACTCTCTCTTAACTGTCTGAACGTAGCTACCTGTTAGGACTGTCTCTTAACTGTCTGAACGTATCTGCCTGTTAGGACTGTCTCTTAACCGTCTGAACATAGCTACCTGTTAGGACTGTCTCTTAACTGTCTGTGTGTATCTCTACTGAACATATCTACCTGTTAGGACTGTCTCTTAACTGTCTGTTTGTATCTCTACTGAACGTATCTACCTGTTAGGACTGTCTCTTAACTGTCTGAACGTATCTACCTGTTAGGACTGTCTCTTAACTGTCTGTTTGTATCTCTACTGAACGTATCTACCTGTTAGGACTGTCTCTTAACTGTCTGTTTGTATCTCTACTGAACGTATCTACCTGTTAGGACTGTCTCTTAACTGTCTGCTTGTATCTCTACTGAACGTATCTACCTGTTAGGACTGTCTCTTAACTGTCTGTTTGTATCTCTACTGAACGTATCTACCTGTTAAGACTGTCTCTTAACTGTCTGAACGTATCTACCTGTTAGGACTGTCTCTTAACTGTCTGTTTGTATCTCTACTGAACGTATCTACCTGTTAGGACTGTCTCTTAACTGTCTGTTTGTATCTCTACTGAACGTATCTACCTGTTAGGACTGTCTCTTAACTGTCTGTTTGTATCTCTACTGAACGTATCTAACTGTTAGGACTGTCTCTTAACTGTCTGAACGTATCTACCTGTTAGGACTGTCTCTTAACTGTCTGTTTGTATCTCTACTGAACGTATCTACCTGTTAGGACTGTCTCTTAACTGTCTGTTTGTATCTCTACTGAACGTATCTACCTGTTAGGACTGTCTCTTAACTGTCTGTTTGTATCTCTACTGAACGTATCAACCTGTTAGGACTGTCTCTTAACTGTCTGAACATATCTACCTGTTAGGACTGTCTCTTAACTGTCTGAACGTAGCTACCTGATAGGACTGTCTCTTAACTGTCTGAACATAGCTACCTGTTAGGACTGTCTCTCTTAACTGTCTGTTTGTATCTCTACTGAACGTATCTACCTGTTAGGACTGTCTCTTAACTGTCTGAACGTATCTACCTGTTAGGACTGTCTCTCTTAACTGTCTGTTTGTATCTCTACTGAACGTATCTACCTGTTAGGACTGTGTCTCTTAGCAGTGGTGTTTCTCTCTCTCTCACTGGGCTCCAGCAGCAGTTCCGAGGAGTCGGGGGGCGCGGCCAGCGTGGTGCTCAGCAGGAGGTGCTCGTGTTGGGATAGGTACTGGGCCGGGGTCTGCTTGGCCGCACGCGCACAGTGGAGCAACTCCCTCTGCAGCAGGGGCAGGTTGGCCTGGGGAGGGGAAGAGAGAGGGGGAGAGAGGGGGAGGAGAGGGGGAGGAGAGGGGAGGAGAGGGGGAGGTGAGTGTAATTTAAAACAGAGTGTTGCATGAACACACAGCCAAAAGAGAGCGCAAGACAGACAGACAGACAGACAGACAGACATAGAGAAAGGCAGAGACAGACAGACAGACAGACAGACAGAGACAGAGAGAGAGAGAGACAGACAGACAGAGAGAGAGAGAGAGAGGCAGAAACAAACAGACAGACAGACAGAGAGAGAGAGAGACAGACAGACAGACAGACAGACAGACAGACAGACAGACAGACAGAAGACAGAGACAGAGAGAGAGAGAGAGAGAGAGGAGAGAGAGAGAGCGAGAGAGAGAGAGAGAGAGAGAGAGAGAGAGAGAGAGAAAGGCAGAGAGAGAGACAGACAGACAGACAGACAGACATAGAGCGAGAGAAACTACAGCTATCACGGGTGTCAATGACACCACGGAAACAAAAATGCAATATGCTGATCTGATCTTGTGCAAATGCAAAGTAAAGGTCCTATTAAATCCAACTGACATGCCCACAAAATATCATAATGTGATGTTTTCACGTGAAAATTCTGAAACGCGTCCACAACTTATTTACATATCGCAAGACGTCACGGAAACGGCATGGCGACACGGCGGAGACACTAGACAGAGACGTGTCACTGAGGAGGCCCAGAGGGAGAGAGACATACAACAGATCTCTCCCTGAGAGAGGCGCCTGGAGGCCAGAGACTCACACACACACACACACACACACACGCACAAACACATTCCCCCACACTCGCACACACACACACCCTCTCTCCCTCCCCACGGGGGTCAGTCTGCCTGCTAAGCGTTAGCACCCTAACTGTTTCTGCACCCTAACTGTTTCTGCACCCTAACTGTTTCTGCACCCTAACTGTTTCTACACCCTAACTGTTTCTACACCCTAACTGTTTCTGCACCCTAACTGTTTCTGCACCCTAACTGTTTCTACACCCTAACTGTTTCTGCACCCTAACTGTTTCTGCACCCTAACTGTTTCTGCACCCTAACTGTTTCTACACCCTAACTGTTTCTGCACCCTAACTGTTTCTGCACCCTAACTGTTTCTGCAGCCTAACTGTTTCTGCACCCTAACTGTTTCTACACCCTAACTGTTTCTGCACCCTAACTGTTTCTGCAGCTTAACTGTTTCTGCAGCTTAACTGTTTCTACACCCTAACTGTTTCTGCAGCCTAACTGTTTCTGCAGCCTAACTGTTTCTGCAGCTTAACTGTTTCTACACCCTAACTGTTTCTGCACCCTAACTGTTTCTGCACCCTTACTGTTTCTGCACCCTAACTGTTTCTGCACCCTAACTGTTTCTGCAGCCTAACTTTTTCTGCACCCTAACTGTTTCTACACCCTAACTGTTTCTTCACCCTAACTGTTTCTGCAGCCTAACTGTTTCTGCAGCTTAACTGTTTCTGCACCCTAACTGTTTCTTCACCCTAACTGTTTCTGCACCCTAACTGTTTCTGCACCCTAACTGTTTCTGCACCCTAACTGTTTCTTCACCCTAACTGTTTCTGCAGCCTAACGGTTTCTGCAGCCTAACTGTTTCTGCACCCTAACTGTTTCTGCAGCCTAACTTTTTCTGCAGCTTAACTGTTTCTGCACCCTAACTGTTTCTGCACCCTAACTGTTTCTGCACCCTAACTGTTTCTGCACCCTAACTGTTTCTGCACCCTAACTGTTTCTGCACCCTAACTGTTTCTACACCCTAACTGTTTCTGCACCCTAACTGTTTCTGCACCCTAACTGTTTCTACACCCTAACTGTTTATGCACCCTAACTGTTTCTGCACCCTAACTGTTTCTGCACCCTAACTGTTTCTACACCCTAACTGTTTCTGCACCCTAACTGTTTCTGCACCCTAACCGTTTCTGCAGCCTGTTTCTGCAGCCTGTTTCTGCAGCCTGTTTCTGCACCCTAACTGTTTCTGCAGCCTGTTTCTGCACCCTAACTGTTTCTGCAGCCCGCCTTTCACTAAATCACTGAAAAACCCAAAAACATAGTCCATCACTCATCACTATGTAGAGAGGGACAACCACCCCAACCACAAACCACAAACCAAAGCCACAACCCCAACCACAACCCCAAACCACAACACAAACCAACAAAAACAACACAAAACACAAACCACAACAACACAACCACAAACCCAAACACACAACACCAAAAACACAACCACAAAACCAAACCACAACAACCAAAGCCACAACCCCAACCACAACCCAAAACCACAATCACAACCCCCAACCACAACCCCAAACCACAATCACAATCACAACCCCCAACCACAACCCCAAACCACAATCACAATCACAACCCCAAACCACAATCACAACCCCAAACCACAACCCCAAACCACAATCACAACCCCAAACCACAACCTCAAACCACAATCACAATCACAACCCCCAACCACAACCCCAAACCACAATCACAACCCCCAAAAACAAACGTTAAAAAGCAATAAGTCTGATTAGGACTGTGGCGGTCACGAAATATCATCAGCCGGTGATTGTCAAGCAAATAACTGTCGGTCTAACGGTGATTGACCGTTAATTAACATAAACACATTTAGCATCTCCTGGCTTCCACACATAGCCTACAAGCCACTGATGCAGACCTTTTAAAAAGTCTAATAAATCCATGTAATTTAGCCTACACCATCACAATAAATCCATTATCTATTTTAGACAGGTCTAAAGAAGCATGATATGAAGAAAATGTAGTCTATTTCAGAAGAACAGAATATCATATTCTGAGTTGTCCTTTTGTTAGGTCCTGATTTGGCTTTGCCAAATGGCTGTGGGCTACACTAGTTGAAGAATATAATTGAACAAAGCTGAATAAAATAGAAAGGATATTTTCTCCAAATGATTTGAGGGAGTGCATTCGGCTATTCTGTGTTGAGCAGTTAACAAATAAATAGGTACTCCTATATGCTTAATTTAGAGTTATTCATGTAACTTTAGTTGTTCTACAAACGTTGGGCTATATGTTTTGATTTTTAATACATTGTAAGGCTGCATGATGCGACTCTAATGATGATTTGAAAAAAGTCGCTTGAAAGGCATGAGCTCCGCTTTGTTTTTTGTGCAGGCTGTACACACTTCATCAGTCTCTCATTCACAATTTGACTTGATAATGCCTCGAATTTCACGGTGGCATCCCCTTTGTGTGGCCGTAATGCACCCTAAAAAAATCCATGCCTTTTGCCGCCAGTGGCCGTTGTGCCCTTGGCCCGGAGTGCTGCGTTGTGCCCTTCTCCCTGAGTGCTGCGCGCTCCGAAGCACCTCTCAATCACGTAGCTCTCCATCACGTGATCGGGTCTTTCTCACAGGCTACAAGTGAAGACAGACACATCGGGTATTCTGAGGTGCATATTGAAGATATTGGATGAAATGCCCACATTTACTTTTCGTCAGCCAACAAGATGAGTAGGCCTAATGAACATCAAAAGCACTAGCCTATGTCAATCTACTATCCCCCATTGTACAAAAGTTGACCTATTCTATTCTGTGCGAGAAATGCATATTCCAAACTTAGTCTGGGACAGTTGGGGATATGAAAGATCCCAAATTAATACAACCACTGGCATCCCAAAACTTTTTTTACGCAATGTGGCTGACACAACAGATCAGAATGTTTAGCTTAAAATGTTGATAACCTATTAGGCTATTTCTTCACATTATAAATGCAAGCAATGCGCACACGGCAGTAGGCTATAAGCGCAAATATTCCATTAGCGGGAAAACACCATTATCAAAAGTAACCGCAAATACGATTATGCATGTAATGCTTTTATTATAAAGGTGCATTTTTATGGTGAAAATGATCTTCCCCAAACTTGAAACTCATGCGCTGCTTATGTATGCCAGTTAGGCTCTACACCCCTTGTAAAGGCGACTATGATTCGAAAAAGTCACAAAAAATATTGTCACCCATCAGACTATTCTTGATTTAATCTTGTCTTTATATATACTAAATAATATGTGTGAAATTTGTTTTGATTTAAAATGGACCATTATCATGCGCCTGTCTCCAAACAGGGGCAGCGGGAAAAAATACGTAATCTATGCACTTAAATAGCGAATGGAGGATGCTTTTCCCGTGGTTTATTTTCATGCCAGCCACGTAGGCTATACTCCTGTTGTAAAGATAAGCAATGTGCTTAATATTAGGAAAGTTGAGAAATAAATATAGTAAGCCTATAGAAAGCTGATTCTCTTTTTAATAGAGGCCATCAAAACTCTGTTTTCTCACGCAATTGCATAGCTTATAGAAATGTTCCGCAACATGAGCTCATGGGCTCTCATGAAGTGTTTGATTAGATTTTCGAAAACATTTGCATTGATGTCAGAGTGATTAGAGGGACAATAGAGTGCTGAGTACCAGGCAGTTAGCAAGTTTGGTAGGCTACTAATGACCAGCAGCAGCATCAGAGCTTGGAGAAGCCTAGTTACCTTGACTAAACGGTCACGTGGAATTTTACTGCCTTCATGACTCGTGACCCTGGTGTGGCGGTAATACGGTCACCGCAACAGCCCTAAGTCTGATGCAACAGATCAGAACGTTTAGCTTAAAATGTTGATAAACTATTATTTCTTCACATTACAAGCGCAGCAATGCACACAAGGCAGTAGGCTATGCGCGAATGTTTGTTCCATAATGCAATTAGCGGGAAAACACTGTTGTCAAAAGGGCACTGCACATGCGAGCGGTTTCATGTGACAGAGATGAAAATATCCGTTAGAAATGTAGAAAGAGAGGAGATCTAATATGCTACTTTGAAGCAAGGTAAGACATGCCTCATAATATGTATTAAAACGTTCAGGTTTCAAACAATTAATTCTATGTTTTAAAAATGTTGCCGTTTGATGCCGCGTTCAAAACAACTGGGAACTTGGAAATCTCCGACTTCAGTGCGTTCAAAACAACTGGGAACTTGGAAATCTCCGACTTCAGTGCGTTCAAAACAACTGGGAACTGGGAAATCTCAGACTTCAGTGCGTTCAAAACAACTGGGAACTGGGAAGTCTCAGACTTCAGTGCGTTCTCTCTATTTCGCTACTCTCTCTCTTTCCATCCTTAATTAGCAACAGGCCCGAGTGTGCTTATAATTACATGCACTTCCTCATTCCCCCGTTCTCCACTTAAGACCCTTACCCCCCTCCTTACCCGCCTCTCACCGCCTTCCTAGGGCCTCTCGACACATATGTTGTCTGTCAGTTAAGCGCCGGTCTCTTTTTCTGCTGGACGGATGTGAGATTTTCAACGCTGGGCAAACCTGAATGACTGCCTTCTTTTAATGCGATACAGAGTCCATATGGTGCGCTGCTGAGCCCCATAAAAGAAGAGAATAGTTTATAGTCATGTTTCACACTTCCGAGCTCTCTCTCTTTCTTTCCAAGGTATCCGCCACCACGGTGATAAGGAGGGAGGGAGAGAGCTCGAGGAGGAGGAGAAGTTGGGGAGCCTCGTAAATTAAGAAAATTCATCTCTGATATGTTTTCAGACAGTCGGGGTTCTGAAAGATGAGGGAGCGCTAACCCGTGGAAAAAGAGCTGATTTTCACCGTCTGAAAAACCGAGCAATAACAGCGAGAAATGTGCCTGGTTGGAAGATTTATGTACAGGTCTCATGAGGGTAGCTCTTAAAAAGACTACTATTTCAGGCCCCCATGTTGCAAAGTTACTCAAAAGCCCAATAAAACTTGCGCAACCCATGTAGCTTGTTAAGTCAACGCATACAACTTCATTGTTACTTGGGAACGACTGAAAGGCAATAAATTAAATTAAATCCCAATTTCCTTTTTGTATGACAAACGTCTTGCCGTTACATATTCAATGCAAATTATTTAATTTTTTCCATTCTAATTATGCTACCATCTACTTGCAGTTTCTCATTATTTGTTTGCATATTTGCGTTATGATTACTTTATTAAATACTAGACAATGACGTCCAAAGATTTCTGAGAGAATTGTAATTATAATCCTCTGTGCCAGAAGCTCCTCTACGCTTCATGAAAGGAATTGGGGCTCTGTCTTAAATGGCAGCCTATCCCCTATATAGTGCACTACTTTGACAAGAGCCCATAGAGGCCCGGTCAAAAGTAGTGCACTCTATAGTGAGTAGGGTGCCATTTGGGATGCACACTAGCTGTTACCTTCAATACAAACATCTGGTTTTTCCACTCCTGATTTCATGACTAATTATACGCAGTCCTTGAGTCATTGTAAACCTCCTCCGAACATCAAAGGCCTTGTGAGGAGGACAAAGAGGAACACTGTAGCAGCACAGGCCTGGATTCAGTTATGAATATTCACAGCACAGGGAGAGAAGGAAAGATAGATGGGGGGGGGGGAAGAGAGAGAAGGGGGGAGAGAGAGAGAGAGAGAGAGAGAGAGAGAGAGAGAGAGAGAGAGAGAGAGAGAGAGCGGGCGAGAGGAGGTAGGTGTTACCTTGAGGAAGGGAATGACGAAGGGCCTCAGGGGAAAGTTGGTGGCCTCTTGGAGCCGCGAGTGGAACTCCTCGATGGTGACCGTTGAATTCTGGGACACACAGAGGAGAGATCAGCCAATCACAGTTCACCTCTCAAGGTTCAATTTATTTGTCTCCAACACTGAGCTTGACATTGTGCGTGTTCCAGATCAACTACATTGCAGTCGGCAGCTGCCACACTGAGTCCATTTGTCGATCAGTCAAAATAGATGCTCTCAGACATGAGGATAGACTTTAATCACCAGAGAAATAACTATATGGCACCAAAAGTCAGTTTCCCTTTCAACTGTCAATCAACCTGTTCATGGATGAAAGATGTGCAACAGATGATACGTAGATAGGTATTATCTGGAGCACAGGACTCAATATGTTGCAGATGGGGCCTGTCAAAACCAATACTGTGGGTCCATTTGGGCCACGTACACTGAATATATGCCCATGTTCCTTTGAATGAAAACATCTGACGAAATAAAATACAGCCTAACATAAATAACACATACCGTCTTTTCAATTTTTGGCATATATTTGTAATGGTATTGAAAGCAACATATATATGTTTAAATATTTCATTCTACATATATCACTTCAATTCGATTTGATTAAATTCAGTTAAACTAATTTCAAACCTCGAATCGCATCTCAAATCAAATGCCACACGTCGACATATCAATACAGAATAATGCTAAGTGACAATGTTTTACGGGCGTTTCCATATAGCGTCCGAAAACGTTTTATCAACCACTCACCACGAGGGCCAGCACCAGGTTGCGGACGCTCTCTCCGATCTCGGGCGAGATGTCGTTGCCGAACTGCTGCAGCGTCGTCAGGAAGCGTTTGAGCTTGCTGAGCTGCCGGGCGCCGCACGTGGCCGGGAGCTGCTGATTGGCCAGCGAGGAGGAAGAGGAGGAGCTAGGCCCATTGCTGTAGCGCTGGGGCGGCGAGGGCACAGCGTTTAAGGTGGGTGGGGAGTGGTGGATACCATTGGTCACTGGAAGGAGGGAAGAGGCGGGATGGGGAGGGAGAGGAGCGAATGAGAGGTCGGCGTATGACGTCAAAAAGGTTTATCAAATGCGGTCCGACGTGGGAGGTAGTTCTTCGACTGGAAACGCTACAGAGGGACAATACATATCACATTCATAATAGAATCACCAGATCTTTCATATGGTATCCTTATTTACACCTATCTGATCTAGGCCGGGTTACTGTACAGGCCTTTGTGATAACAAAGGGGCTTTATAAAAATATTAGATTGATATATGACCATAAAGTAAAGCAGACAAAGAAAGGAAGCCGTTTGGATATATCAGAATACACACTGCCCAAATGAATCTATCGTTTACCACACTGCTCCTCTATGGGGAGCTAGTTGTGGTAGGAGACATAACGTCACTGAAGTTGACTGTCAATGAAGCACAAATTGAATCCTGTACTTTCTTCTTCACTTCCTGGTTTATGGGTACACTTCCTGCTGTACTTCCTGGTCGCCGGTCCACCCATCAGGGCCTCATTGACTTGAATGGGGATGACTGTTCCAGTCATTCTATTTCTATGGTAAGAGTGCCAATATCTGTGGTACTCACGAGTGGTGGAGGAGAAGGATGCTGGCCGGGGTCCGCTGGGGTTGACGGAGGGCAGGGGCGGCATGGTGGCGCTGCTGCTGCTATTGGTGGGGACTGGTCTGGGGACTGGTCTGGAATGAGTCTTGACATCCACAGGAGAGCCGGGCATGGCAGGGGACTTCTTCTCTCCACTGTCTGAGGAGGGGGAGAGAGAGAGGGGAGGGAGGGGAGAGAGAGGGGGAAGGGGGAGAGAGAGGGGGGAAAGGGGGAGAGAGAAGGGGCAGGGGGAGAGAGAGAGGGGGAGGGAGGGGGAGAGAGGGGGAGGGAGGGGGAGAGAGTGGGGTGAGGAAGGGGGAGAGAGAGGGGAGGGACAGGGTCAATAGGTGCATGACAGAGATGTTTTGTAGTCGAGGTGTTCTTACAGGCACACGCACACGTATGTACGTACGCACGCACGCACACACACGTACATACACACACACACTCACTCATGTACGTACACACACACACACACACGCATATGCGTACACACACACGCTAATGTGTAGAAGTGGTTTGCAGTCTGGTTTCCATCATCAGCCACTCAAGTTACAAACACACATAAACACACACTATCCTCAGCCTCAGTGTGTGTGTGCGTGCATCGAGGTGCTTTTTCCATGACATAGACCAGGGATGGGCAACTCTGATGGAGTGGAACTCATCATGAGGGGCCGCAGTGGGTCTGCGTACCCACATTCATATCCCACATCCGTTTCCCATTTGTATCAAGAATGGTCCACCACCCAAAGGACATCCAGCCAACTTGACACAACTGTGGGAAGCATTGGAATCAACATGGGCCAGTATCCCTGTGGAACACTTTCGACACCTTGTAGAGTCCATGCCCCGACAAATTCAGACTTTTCTGAGGGCGAAAGGGGGGGATGCAACTCAATATTAGGAAGGTGTACACCCTTTTGCCCTCAGAACAGCTTCAGTTCGTCAGGGCATGGACTCTACAAGGTGTCGAAAGCGTCTATCTGGCCCACCCTCTGAATGGCACATACACAATCCATGTCTCAATTGTCTCACGGCTTAAAATTCCTTCTTTAACCTGTCTCCTCCCCTTCATCTACACTGATTGAAGTGGATTTAACAGGTGACATCAATACGGGATCATAGCTTTCACCTGGATTCACCTGGTCAGTCTGTCATGGAAAGAGCAGGTGTTCTTAATGTTTTGTCCACTATGTGTGCGCGTTAAGAAGAGTGACTCAACATTTCCAGACTCAATGTAGAGACTCTGCAAGTCCTCACCTTTGTCATGGAAGAAAACAGCAGCAGAACCTCCCCCTTCTCCACCCGCCTCCACCCCCACGCCAACCCCCTTCTGCCCCTGGTAGAGAAACCAGATGTCTTTGGGGTCTAGCCTTGCCTTGAGATCCTCAACCCCTCCATTGAGATCCATGGCTAATGAAGAAAAGCCATTGTGTGTTGTGGAGAAGAATGGCCCTTCATGGAGCCAGTGGGGCCAGGGCCGAAGAGAGAGGGGGAGAAGGAAAAGGGGGCGGGTGCTATTTCACGCTTTACTAACGAGATCGCAAAAGCTTTTGAATGTTAAACGCATACTTCTCAATATGCCACGGCCAATTAATGAAATGAATGGGACCACCAGATCAGGGGATGGGGAGAGAGAGAGAGAGAGAGGGAGATGGTAATAATCTTTAGATCAGAGGGCATCTTCGTTAGTCCAGATCCCATGTAGACTGGGTCTTGTCTCTATTTGGAGTGGATCAGATGCTTCCAACTGCTTTTAGACAGACGATTAATAGACAAGCAGTTTTTAAGGGTCAAAGGTCGGGTGAGAGGTTCCTTGGTTTTAGGGCTTTTCTTTAGGGTGGGACTATTATGCTCTTTTGATGTCATGAACTGAGTGTCTGCCTTCATACACAAACATATGAATGCAACAGCCAGTACTTAAATTTTGATGGAGAGCAATATGGCATTTAATATGCCAGCATGTGATGATTGTGGTCCTCTGTAGCTCAATTGGTAGAGCATGGCGCTTGTAACGCCAGGGTAGTGGGTTCGATCCCCGGGACCACCCATACGTAAAAATGTATGCACACATGACTGTAAGTTGCTTTGGATAAAAGCATCTGCTAAATGGCATATTATTATTATTATAAACAATTAGGGTAAAAACTAGGAAATCAAAAAACAGGACACTTCAGGATGTGGTTCCACTGTGGACTCTCGATGAGTTATTTGGCATGTTGAAATAAACAATACGCCTCATGACTTGGTGGTTCCTTTAGAAAAGGATAAACAACAAAGGTATATGCTTGTGTACACTGTAAAAAAAAAAGTACAGTTGTTTCAACTAAGTATTATTATATATATTTATTTTTTAGTTGGCCTAAACTTAGCTCTAACAAAAATTCAGTCAACTTAAAATTATGTGTTTGCTCAAATTGTCTCATATGTTCATTTAACTAGAAATTATTATTTGGGCATCTTACCTAAAAAAGCCTGTGAAACTACTTACACACAGTGCTACAATGTTTTCAACTTACATATTTGACACACATGATTACATTGTGCATGTTCATTTATACAGTAATTCATATTCAACATGTCCTCATCTGGGATTTGCACTCACAAACTCTTCGTTCACTTTTGCACTTCAAAGTAAATCTTAGCTCTGTTAAAAGTAATCTCAATAAAAAATATTTTATTTATCATAGTGATTAAGGAGTAACATTCAAATATGCCCTACCAACATTAAGACAACTATACAGAAACCCCCAAAATCGCTTAAATAAGAAAATCTAATCCGATTTTTGCCAGCAGGAAGATCGGCGAAGCCATGAACCAAGAGGTTGTGAGTTCAACTATCAGGTGAGGACATGTTGAATGCATGTCAACATGGATCAAATATGTAGTTGAAAACATTGTATGATAAAAGCACTGTGTGTGCAACCAGTTGCACAGCCTTTTTTAGTTAAGATGCCCAAATAACAATGTATAGTTGAATGAACATATGAGACAAGTTGAGCAAACACATTTTAAATTGATTGAAGTTGGAGCTGTTCAGGTAACACTTGGACCGAAAAGTTGAGTAAACAAAAGAAAAGGCTTTGGAACCAGTTATTGAATAATAATGAATTGAAACTATTTATTTTAATTTTTTTACAGTGTAAGTCTTTTGAATGAATAAAGCCAGCACACATATTTCCACACAACAGCGAGGGTTGACCTGAACTCTCGGGCTTGCAGCTTTGACTCTAATCTCCCTTAATTTCTCCCTTCTTCTTGTCCTCCTCGCTCTCCTTCTCTCCATCCCCCTCTCTCTCTCTCTCCGCACCCCGTGGTCTGCCTACTATCGCTCCACCTGTTCAGGAGGGCTATACACAGCCATTTGGGCTTCTGTCTCACACACGCACGGGCATAGTGACGGGCACACACACGCACGGGCACACACACATACACACCGTGCCAGCACTTGGCAGGGAGCAGCCTAAAGCACGCACACTGGTTCCAATGCTCCACACACTCCTCCTGGTCAGGAAATGAGGATGACGTCTCAATAACACGATCCATGGGATGTATAGCTTCATAACAACAATATCCAATATTAATGAGGATGACGTCTCAATAACATGATCCATGGGACGTATAGCTTCATAACAACAATATCAATATTAATGAGGATGACGTCTCAATAACATGATCCATGGGACGTATAGCTTCATAACAACAATATCAATATTAATGAGGATGACATCTCAATAACATGATCCATGGGACGTATAGCTTTATAACAACAATATCAATATTAATGAGGATGACGTCTCAATAACATGATCCATGGGACGTATAGCTTTATAACAACAATATCAATATTAATGAGGATGACGTCTCAATAACATGATCCATGGGACGCATAGCTTCATAACAACAATATCAATATTAATGAGGATGACGTCTCAATAACATGATCCATGGGACGCATAGCTTTATAACAACAATATCAATATTAATGAGGATGACGTCTCAATAACATGATCCATGGGACGCATAGCTTTATAACAACAATATCAATATTAATGAGGATGACGTCTCAATAACACGATCCATGGGACGTATTGTCACGCCCTGACTCAGGGGACGCTTATATGTTGAGTCAGGGTGTGTATATTCTATGTTGATGTTGTGTAGTTCTATGTTTATATTCTAGTATGGGTATTTCTATGTTGGCCGGTGTGGTTCCCAATCAGAGGCAGCTGTCGCTCGTTGTCTCTGATTGGGGACCATACTTAGGCAGCCTATTGGCACGATTGAGTTGTGGGATCTTGTTCCGTGTTGAGGTATGTTGTTTGTGTCGAACCTTGGACTTCACGTTTCGTTTCGTTTATTGTTTTGTCAAGTGTTTATTAAGTTTAAATAAACATGTATGCATATCACGCTGCGCCTTGGTCTGACCCGTCTGTAAGCGAGCGTGACAGAAGATCCCACCAAACGAGGACCAAGCAGCGTGTCCAGGAGCAGACAGCCTGGACCTGGGAGGAGATCCTGGACGGTAAGGGATCCTGGACTTGGGAGGAGATTCAGGCTGGGATGGATCGCCGTCCTTGGGAGGAGACAGTGGAGGCCCGGTATAGAGAGGAGAAACGGCGCAAACAGTGCCGACGACGGAGACCCGATAGGCAACCCCAAGATAAAAAAAATTTTTTGGGGGGGGCACACGGTGTGGACGATGAGGCAGCAGGAGGCCGTTAAAGGGCGGGTCTGCAGGTTAGGAGAGGAGGCCACCATGTTACGGGGGCTATTGGTTCAGAGGGAGCAGGAGTTATTCGGTCAGAGGGAGGCGCTACAGGAGGCTAAAAGGGAGAAGGAAAGTGTAGAGGCACGGCGAGAGGAGCTGGTTAGGCAGCAGAAGGAGCGGGGGTTAATAAAGGAACCCAGTCCCGCTCCTCGCACCAAGCAAGTGGTGCGTGTCGCCAGTCCGGTCCGACCCGTTCCTGCTCCCCGCACTAAGCCAGTGGTGCGTGTTCCCAGTACGGCCCGACCCGTTCCTGCTCCTCGCACCAAGCCAGTACGGCCCGACCCGTTCCTGCTCCTCGCACCAAGCCAGTGGTGCGCGTCGCCAGCCCGGCCCGGCCTGTTCCTGCTCCTCGCACCAAGCCAGTGGTGCGCGTCGCCAGCCCGGCCCGGCCTGTTCCTGCTCCTCGCACCAAGCCAGTGGTGCGCGTCGCCAGCCCGGTCCGGCCCGTTCCTGCTCCCCGCACTAAGCCAGTGGTGCGTGTTCCCAGTACGGCCCGACCCGTTCCTGCTCCCCGCACTAAGCCAGTGGTGCGTGTTCCCAGTACGGCCCGACCCGTTCCTGCTCCTCGCACCAAGCCAGTGGTGTGCGTCGCCAGCCCGGCCCGGCCTGTTCCTGCTCCTCGCACCAAGCCAGTGGTGCGCGTCGCCAGCCCGGCCCAGCCCGGCCTGTTCCTGCTCCTCGCACCAAGCCTGTGGTGCGCGTCGCCAGCCCGGTCCGGCCCGTTCCTGCTCCCCGCACTAAGCCAGTGGTGCGTGTTCCCAGTACGGCCCGACCCGTTCCTGCTCCTCGCACCAAGCCAGTGGTGCGCGTCGCCAGCCCGGCCCAGCCTGTTCCTGCTCCTCGCACCAAGCCAGTGGTGCGCGTCGCCAGCCCGGCCCGGCCTGTTCCTGCTCCTCGCACCAAGCCAGTGGTGCGCGTCGCCAGCCCGGTCCGGCCCGTTCCTGCTCCCCGCACTAAGCCAGTGGTGCGTGTTCCCAGTACGGCCCGACCTGTTCCTGCTCCCCGCACTAAGCCAGTGGTGCGTGTTCCCAGTACGGCCCGGCCTGTTCCTGCTCCTCGCACCAAACCAGTGGTGCGCGTCGCCAGCCCGGCCCGGCCTGTTCCTGCTCCTCGCACCAAGCCAGTGGTGCGCGTCGCCAGCCCGGCCCGGCCTGTTCCTGCCCCTCGCACCAAGCCAGTGGTGCGCGTCGCCAGCCCGGCCCGGCCTGTTTCTGCCCCTCGCACCAAGCCAGTGGTGCGCGTAGCCAGCCCGGTCCGGCCTGTTCCTGCTCCTCGCACCAAGCCAGTGGTGCGCGTCGCCAGCCCGGTCCGGCCTGTTCCTGCCCCTCGCACCAAGCCAGTGGTGCGCGTCGCCAGCCCGGTCCGGCCTGTTCCTGTCCCTCGCACCAAGCCAGTGGTGCGCGTCGCCAGCCCGGCCCGGCCTGTTCCTGCCCCTCGCACCAAGCCAGTGGTGCGCGTCGCCAGCCCGGCCTGTTCCTGCTCCTCGCACCAAGCCAGTGGTGCGTGTGTCCAGTCCAGCACGGCCCGTGCCTGTTCCACCGGTCAGCTGCTCCACTCCGGAGCCAGAGCAGTGCGCTCCACCGGTGCCCAGTCCAGCTCCGGTCAGCGGCTCCACTCCGGAGCCAGAGCAGTCCGCTCCA